ACCGGCTCTGCTGGGCAAAGCAGCTAAAGCAACTTAGCAGGCACGGGGAGTTCTGCTTACAGGACTCCCTCCACTGGAGTACAGGCAGTACAAGAGAAAAGTCTGGGAAGTTTCAATTTTTTACGGAGGAGAGGGAGGGCAAGAGATTAAGCATAAATCTGTTTCCTGGAGGAAGCAAGCATCTTGTTCCAGAGTCACTTGTAACTTCCTGTCCCTCTTAACTGCACTGGGCACCCGATATCCGTAAAAGAGAAGTGAACACCATCATCCTCACCCGTGAAAGACAATGCCGAGTTTGGGACTAATAACTGATTCTTTTGAAAAAGACTCTTAGAAATGGTAACATCAAGTAACAGTTAAATGTACTTTAATTCCTTCAAACAGAAGGATATCTTGAAGGTACATCAGAGAAATGATTTAATTGATTTCAGTCTCTTAAAAAAAAAAAAAGCATGGCTTCAAAATTCAGGAACAGTATCCAATAAACAAAGTACGATCATTATGCACCTGTTTTAGAGGGTGGTACAAAAAGAGCGTACAAATTCAAATGAATGGCATAAATGACTAATCAATTCAGATAACGCTTGTTTACAGGGACAAAAACTCTGTTGACAAGTATGAATAAGCACACAGATAATCTCTTTAAAAAGACCCAAACCTTTCTAACTGTATTTACACACACTGATGTATTTGCTTTCCTTTGGCACTAGAAATTACAGACAGAAGATTCCATTTTATACATTTTAAAATAACCTTTGAGTCATTTAAGTCATAGAGCCTGAGCAGAGTAGCTTCATCTTTATTAACTTGCTGCCAACTCTATATTCTAACCCTGGAAATTCAGGCCACAAAGCCTGAATTCAGCTTCCACCTGTGTCCACTTTCACTCATCAGAATTAAGTGGATGTGAGGAGCTCAAGCAGCAGTGGGGAATTAATGAGATTCATTCTTATTAAACATGTCTGTATCTCCTATTCTTATCCAAGGTGGACATCTACCTTTAAATGCTCTTTATATGCATACACAAATTAAATCAAGTAAAAATGGACACCCATTACATATATTCAGACAAATCAGATGTTACATGAACGGTCAGAGCCATCTGCAGTATTTCTTCAGTGTTGGCAGAGATGTGTTAATCTCTACTCACTTCCATTGCTAGAAAAAAAAAATTAAGATTACACTTAACAAACATGGTTTATTCTTTTACCACGTTAGTTTACTCTTTAGCCACTGCCAGGAGTAAACCCTTACGTTTCACAGGAAATTCAGTATTATCAGTACAGTAGTAAGTGTTTTGGCACCCTGTAAAATTCTAAAGGATGTGCAAGAAAAATCTCAGAAGTAGCATTTCATTATCCAGACTTCTCAATTCTTGTTTATGGTATTTGACTTTACACAACCTGAAGCTTTGATTACTTTCAAACCAGTTTTTATAGGTTTTCTGCTAGTAACCAACAGGGATGTAACAACAATAGCACAGCATTTTTCCTAAAGCATTAAAGCCTAGGAAAATATTCTTTTCCTTGAAGAACTACAATCAATTAGAACTACATAAAGCAACAAGGCATCAGGTCAAGCAATAGCACAGTGACCCTCTACAACAGGAAGTGGTTTTCAGTCTTAAAACAAAAAGGAATCAAATCGAAAATAATCTAAAATTTATAGACTTCATAGGTTTTGTTCCTTCTCTCGGTGGTAAGAAACCATTACCAATTAACATTTTACTCTGCTCTGCAAGCAGGATCAGGGCAGAAGCTTTTGTTGAGATGGAATAAAAGTAAATGGTTGCCTTATTTTGCATTGATCACATGCAAACTGGATGTTGTATTGCCTTTGATAACTGGATTGAATCCAAGCTGGACCAGACACTTACAGAATGTTTCACACACACACACATTATTTGGGCACGTCTCAAATAGGGATTAGTCTTGTTCTGCTAAGTGTATTCTTGAACGTCAAAAAAAGCTGAATTTGACTACAGGAAATTCAGCGAGGAAAAGGAATCAGAATATAACAGCAAGTCTTCCCAGAAGACAGTCTTTTCTACACATCCAAAGAGAACTAGCTGTTTGAATTTTAGATTAGCTGATACAACATTTTAAATATTTCAAAAGCACAGCATGTTAAAACAACTTTCATTACACTTTGTGGAATACCAGTACCAACAACCTCTATGTGAAATTATTACAAGCTACTCAAATGCAGTCTCTTAAAATGAAAAGGAGTACAGTACATCTAAAGCATATATACATGCTGCTACCAAGGAAAGAAAGCAGTGAAGTAGCAACTTTTTATGCACATGAGCTTCACTAAGAATCTCGCTCTTTAAAATAGCCCAAAAATTAGCCTGCACTTAAGATTTATTTTCAACTGAAAAAGACTTACAAAAACACCCAAATCTTATTATAAGACCCCTTGGTCTTTTTATTCTCAACTTGCATGATATTTTCATGCAAAGTGATTTACCGGAGATACAGTACCACAAGTTACTACTTTAAAAAAAAAAAATCTAAGAATCAAGTTTTCTTTTTGCAAAACATGAATATAAACCTGTATTCAACAAGGCATGTGCAGCTACAGCCTTGTTTTACAGAGTTAGGTAATTCAAGAAACGGAATGTGCAGTAACTACCAAATGAAACACTTTACAAATACTGAAATTGTGAAAACTAAATTAACTGATTATCAGTCCACACAACCACAAACAAGGTTGTATTGCACTACATAAATACTGACCGAATGCCCCCAAAAATGCCAAGAAACTAGAAGCAAGTTCAAAACAGGATATTAAAACTTCCTTTCAGTGAAGACCAACCAGTCCCTTTGTGTACACATTTAGTTTTATTGTAACAAAGCAACTTGTACACTTTAACGTTTAAAACTGAGCATCTTTCTTTCCTTTCCAGTGAAACAAAAAAAAAAAAAAAAAAAATTTAAAAATAAACAAGAACAAAATTACAATAGAGAATGTCAATTCCAAATAAGATCCTACAGGTTCTGCTGATTCTCCATCAAGTGGCAGGGCTCAAAGTCATCATTAGGAGAAGATTTTATTTTAAAAGTGTCATCTTAAACTGCAAGGATGTTTGTTAAACATGACAATTAAACATGCCAAAGGAGAAGAAGCCATGTTGTCAAAATGCCCACTTAACCCACCCAAACATCTGAAACCCACCCCGGCTGACCTTCTATAACCCCATTTTTTATTTTTTTTTTAGTTTTTTCTTTTTTTTAAACAAGAGAAAGTAGACAGATACATGTTGGTAAATGCTAACTGTCCATATTCACATAGAGACACAGTGTAATCTCTGAGCCCAATATACAGAGAAAGAAGGAAAAAAGCTAGATTCTATGCACTACTACACAGGGGCCTAGCACTCTTCAGCTTCCAGCAGAGTGAAGGGAGCAGAAGGTTTTCTTTTTTCCCACAGAACATGGTGTGTTGATTCCATAAACAGTTTTTGTTTTGAGACAGAAAGGGATAAAAATGAACTTGAAACAGAAACTGGTAGATTCTTTTCCACTGTATTCTGCTCAAGGTATTTCCCCCAAAATAAATTGTGAACCATGGTGTAGAGGAGAGAAAAAGAGACCTCAAGAGAACAAGGCGACTGAGCACAAGAAAAAAAAAAAAAAAAAAGAGACAGCAACTTGCTCCCAGGGACTGGAGAAAAATTAAAAAGGTAAAAAGGGGGTTTGGAATCCATCAGTGTTCAATTAGTCATCTTCTCCTTCATCCTCCTGTTGAAAGATAAGCAACAATTAAAAAAATCTAATCACTAAACTCCAGATAGCACGAACTTCCAAATGCAATAACCAGAACTGTTTTACTACCCTACAGACTACAGCCCTACTGTTGTTACTCATAGCATGCTGTATGATGATCTCTTTCCACTTCATTCACTTGCCGAAGTACCTATCTACAGAGAAATCAGTTAATAACTGGACGTCCCAATGAAAAATCAGCTGGTTTGAAAAAATACCGTGACTTAGAATCACTACAAATATTGACATAAGTTTAACATTTAGAAAGTGAAGGAGTCATCTTTTTTCCCCTCATTTTAAACTCTGAAGAGCAAAACACTTCAACTTTCAGATGCTGAATTCAAGGTTACATACTAGAGTCCCATCCTCTGGTGCCCACAACAGCCCTCCTTATCTTAATACAAGAAGTTTTTTCTGCTGAAATTCAGACACACCACACCCAAGTGCAAGAAACAAAGACACTCTGAAGTTTTTTACCAACACCCTAAATGCTTTCCCTGGAACCCCACTTGCTGCTACAGGAAATTTCTAATTCCTGAACCCAACAGAGAGTCTGAGCTAAGCTGACCATAAGTAGAAATAAATCAACAGGTGGGAGGATGACAGAACTGGATGCATCAACAAAAGCTGTTTGCAAGTAAAGCCTTGCTAAAATGTTCACTAATTAAAGAAGATTTTTGTTATGCTAATATCCTAGTTCTTCTAGAGCACCTCCCTTAGAAATCTACTAAAACTGCTTATTTGTGCTGTCCTTCATACACAAACGTACCTATTACTACACTGAAATCGCTCCACATGAGTGAAGGCAGTAACAGTTCTGCTTCTCCTCTCCAAACACCTTATCACTGATTACTCAGAGAAGAGCTACTTTACTGTTGTAACAATGGCTCGGTATTCTTAGAAGATTCCTCTTATAAATTTCTTTTGATTCTCATACACCAGAGATGAAAGGGGTAAGGGGCAAGATCACTCACCTCTCCTTCCTCTCCCTCATCATCATCTTCATCTTCCTCCCCCTCATCTTCATCTCCTTCTTCATCAATATCCTCCAATCCCTCTTCCTCTTCATCATCATCATCATCCTCCTCTCCCTCCCCTTCTTCGTCATCCATATCAGGAACCTTAGACACACATATGCACCATCAACTACAGTGATCAAATTCACTTTCACTTGCACAGTGCTATTATGGGTATGGATCAAAAACTCTCAGCGCTATGCTTACCAAGTAGTACTGTAACGGATTGGGCCAGATGTCATCCTTGATAACCTCTCCTAGTTCATCAGCCCCTGCGTCAGAGTGATCAGTGAACCAGGTAAAGAAGCTTTCTGGCTCTTCATGCTGCCTCTTCCTACTGGCTTTGTTCTGTGTCTGGCTTGAACGTTTTGTCAGATCCTGAAAAGAAAGTTAAGAAGTTTCCTAAAGAAGTGGTCTTTACATGGCCTTCTTTTCATAAGCACCATGTAGAAATGTACTTGTCCAAACAACCACAAGAAGTTACTTACTACTTTATCTTTCAGGGAGAAGTCTAAGAAACATTTGGAACCTAAATGACCCACAGAGAAAGATACTGCATTTCTGATGAACATGAGAAAATAGTAAACCTGCTTGTTTTTTTTAATTACCTCCACTAAAATACTGAAAATTCACTGGATCTTGCATTTGATTTATGCTTCCCTATGACAAGGAAGCATAATGTAGCTAAATGCAATGACTACTACATACATACAATTTAAGAAATGCTTGTCTCTGCACCTCTAAGATCTGTCTTTATTTAATTTAAGAACTGCCTAGCCTTCCTATCCTAAGGTTTCCTGCTTTGAAGTCTCCAGGCCATTCTTTGTAGTAAGTGAAAAAAAACCCTCACAAACTGCTGAAACATATGGTCACAAGAACATACATGAGTCCTGTATTTACCACCTTACCCCCAAAGTTTAATAAGTTTCCAACAATCTGCTAAGTCTGCAAAGAAAATTACTATCTGGTATTTAAATCCTTTGTTTCTCTGATCATATGGTAATTCAAAACTTCTAGTATTTTTCTTGATAGAATCACAACATTTATAGGTTTAGACTATTTAAGGAAGAACAATATCAGAATTCACACTGATGTTATGGTACACTGTAAGGATCATTTGGCTAGTTTGTACTAGACTGTAACTTCTGTACAAGAGGAAAAGTTCTATTTCTCAATGAAAAAAAGATTAAGTTTTCTTTTTGGTCTGAGGGTGACAAAACAAGCAGCAATTTAACTGCAACTCTCACTTCTACTTTTAAATACTCATTTCAAAATTTTCAAGATAACATGAAAGTGTTCTCAACTTTTACAGAAACTAACTACAGCAAATAGATTATGGTTGAACACTGCCTGGATGAAGGACATGCCCGCATTATTGAGCGGCTGTGACTTCTCCAAAGATGTAGTGTCTGGTAATGAAGTTGAAGGAAAAAAAAAAAGAAAAAACAACCAACCAACAAAAAAAAAAAAAATCACACACCCCTATTAGACCTTGTCCTCAGAATTCCTAATTTAATAGTTATCTTAAGAAAACAACAATACAGAGTCTACATCCACTGCAAAGAGAGACAAGCTAATGCACTTGTTAATCTCTCCATCTGGTCGTACTTTTACTTTCACTGTCTTCATGGTGGTACTCAACCAAGCAAGAGCATTCACTACAGATCTACATGTAAATAGGGTCATTCCAAACCCTGCAAGATAGGCAGGAGCTGTGTATGTACAAAAGTAGAAAAGAGGTTGCGAGGGGAAGGGAAGACAAGGCAGTCTCAATTAAAAAAAAAAGAAAAAAGGAAATGTAATTAAAATGATGGTATTACACAGAGCAGCAATCATCTCTCCCAGATGCACAGATACATACCTTCCCAGATTTCCATTTGATCTCAGTTGATTTTGAAGATGGGTCTCCACTTTCATTGAGGTGAAACTCTTTGGAGAGAACTTTATTTTCAAAATATGGGTTCTCATCAAAATACTGCAGAGTTGAAAGCAAAGAGTTGGAACCCGCATAATGTAAAAACACATCAAGTCAAACCTGGTACTAAATGTTTAACTGAAGAGATTAAGTTGCAAACTACAATCCAACATACAATTACATCCAAAAAAAACTCAGAAAAATCACAAGTGAAGGAATTACTTAAAGTACTTACAAAATCTATTCTGTAACCTGATTTGATATCTTCAAATTCTGTCACCTCAACTCTGGTCAAATAATGCAGTGCTTCCTCATCTTCCTCTCCCAGCAGTGCAGATACTAAGACAGAATTAGGAATTGCACATTAACAAAGCCATGAAATATGTATCGTGCAGATGAACTACAGGAAATTGATAGCAAGAAAGATGTGAAAAGCAACACATCTGTCCAAGCCAACTTCTTCTGGCCCATTTTTTCCTGAGTTACCAGCCAACAGACTATTAGCATTTGTGTGATTTGCATATGCTGAGGTGAAAACGATACGTGCTTGTTGTAGTTCAACATTAAAAAGCAGCAAAATCTACCTGCATACATCTGCCTTTCTCTCTGAAACACATTTTCACACATGTAGTTTGCCCAGTCTAAGCAGTTTACAAACTTGTCCTCTCAGAAAGTCTCTTGTCAAGAGTACTAAGGAGCTCATCTGCAACTAAAAAAAACCAAAACCTAAAATACTTTTTTCCCTTTTTTTTTCTTTAAAGCGCACAATTAACTAAGAAAAGGGGGGAAACTTGTTTAAAATGCACAAAGAAAACTAACATGGGATTTTAGTGAACAAGATGTTCCTTTGGTCAACAAATGCTAGAAATAAAAAGCCTATAAAATTCACTCTAGGTCAAAAAGGAAGTGTTTGCATATGAAGCAGGCTTCTTGTTTAAACACATGTTCAGCAACAGTTCTAAAAAACACTCAGAGCTTCAAGACACTCACATAACAAGCAAGCAAACGCTGAATTTACAGAAAAGAGGGCTGTTAAGAATATACCTTGTGGGTGGTTGACAAATGTTGTTACCCAGAAGTTTGGGATTTTGGCGATCAATTCTGACCTCTTCTGGAAGAATGGTTGGCGGAGTTTGTTGTATTTCTGTTCTACTTTCAAAATTTCCTCACTGGCTTGTTCATTCAGTCTGTAATAGAAAGAGCCACGTTAACCACAAGAGAAGGAACTGAAATGTTAAGACACATCATCAGTAGATACCCAAAAACGGAATGGATCTGATGAGACTAGTCTGCCATATTCAACAAGTGAGGCATCTCAAGAAAAAACTGAGGCCCAAACCTGTAACGACTATTAAGAAACACACTACCAGAAGCAACCTCAGTGATCTTAATGAAATACTCTTAACACCTTGTGTATTTTGCAGCATTGCATGAGGGACAGACCTGCATTTATGCAAAGCAAAGTAGTATTCAACTCTTAAACATTTTGTTTGCAAAGGACCTGAAGATGGATAACACATATCACCTGCTCTTTGTAACTTTTGGGCAGGCAAGCAAGCTACAGCAAAGCAATTTCGTACCCCAGGCCAAGTAAAAATCTCAAGATGTAACATTTAATTGGTTTTGTAAGAAGACAGAGCCCTGATACTGGAACAGCTTCACATGGCTAGAACCTCAATAGTCACCTGCAGTCTTGGTAGGACAGTGTGCATGGAGATAAGATCTCAGCAAATACTGACATAGAGCCAGAGATTTGGGATATGAAACTCATGTCTAATCAAGTCAGAACACAACTATATCCTGGCAGAGTTTAAAGAGTGAGAACTACTACTGAGTGCTTACTTTACTAAATATTTTTATTTTGGAAAGTTACATTTTAATTTTTGCTAAAACATTTGAAAAGTTTGTTAATGTTTACCTGTCTATTTCATTCTGTACTTCATCAATGTGTTCAATTGCTTCCTGTTGCTCTTTTTCTGAAAAACAAACGAAAAGGCATCAAAATCCCTTCATTCTCAAGTCTGACAAATCACCTGGGGTTTCTGCTTAAGATCTTTTCCAGTCCTCTCCATTAGAAGTGCACAGGTATTTCTATTAAATGTCATAAGCATTTCTAGGCCTTAAAGCTTCAGCTAACTTCAAGGTGTGCTATGCCTGAAGTCAAGAAAAGTTTGCTGAAACAGCACTCAAAGCGAGAAGTCACAGCTCACAACCTACACAGTTTTACAAGTCAACTTAGGTGATAAGTCAATAAATGATTAATAACCATTTAATTAAAAAACTGTATGCCACATCTGCCAAAACCAACACATTTGAAGGAACATTAAATAATTTAGAGAGAACAGAAATAGAAATAGCATAACTGGGAATGCGCCACCTTCTAAAAACTGAAAAGAACAACGAAGCAAAAAAAAAAAAAAACACCTTCAAAGTCGCCGTTTGGCAGGTATTTTCCAAATCGGAACTTCCCCTCAACAAAGTCTGACCGAGGTCTGGGTACAGGACGAGTGTTTACCTATCACGCTGGGAGATGAATGAACGGCAGCGGGAAGTCGCTGGAGCAGTGCAGCACGCTCACTCCTCCCCCGGTAACTTTCCCGCACGGCTCAGTCCGCGTTAGGGGACAGCTCTCCCCTCTCCGCTCCCCACTCGCGCGGGTGGATGCGCTGCCCCCTCCCCACGACGGAGAAGCGGCCGGGTACGGAAAGCACGTGTGTGACCGGAGCTCGCAGCGGGCGCAGCACCGCGGGGCGCGACGGCGGGACTCGATGGAAGGAGAACACTGCGCCCTTCCCGTGGCGGCGGCCGGGAGCAAACCCGCAGCGCGGCGACCTTTAAAAATCCCGCAGCTACCGCGATCG